ACCTCACCAACTCATTCCTGCTCTGCAAAATTCATTCAATTCGGCCCATTTTATTTTTAAATTTAAATAGTCTGAATCTCATCACAGATTAACTCAAATTGGAAACATCCTCAAGATATATTAAACTGATTTGACCTAATTATTTTAATTGAAATTAGATGTATTTATGAATAAATTGGACGATGAGTAATTGATGTTAACTTTTTTAATGGATCAAATTGTAGCCCTTAAAACTTAAAAGGACTACACTCATCGAATTGTCATCTTTTAAATAATACCATCGTCTGACAGTGTGACAATTCGACTACACACAAGTTGGTAAATAATATCAATTCATAGGGGTTTTATAAATTAGTTTTTTTATTTTTCAAATTTAAATGATTCATTCATTATTATTTTTAAATCATCTAAAAATTGAGTCTATATAACTAAATCGAAATGTACTTTTTAAAATGATTTGAATTTATAAATTTTTTGTTTAAAACTTGAGTCTATATAGATCGAATTAATCGGTTCGGACAAATAACTCGACCTGACTTTTTATATAAGTATTCTATCAAACTCTAAAAAAAATCTCGAAGCATCATTCAATGAGGAATTTATACATGGAGTAATGATGATGAAATTTGTTTTGTGTTTGTGTATGATATTGACAAGCACAAATCAATGAATCTAGATATATATAGAGAGAGATTTGGTATAAAGAAGCAATTGTTTGTTTCTTTAGGGGGCAAAAAAGCAATTGCCTAAACCTTACCATCTAAGGAAGTTTAGCTTTCTCAAAGCAGAAATAAAAAATAAAGATGAAATTGATGAATATCTATATCCATTTATAGTTTAACATCACTTCCCAACCATTTGTCTCGTAGTTTCTTTTGAAAAATCCCTTTCAATCCTTTGTGGTGAACTAAAGGTTGGATTTCTCAAAACATCCACATTATTTCTAGGACCCAACCCTTATTATTATTGATATCCTATCTGTTATTTCTAAAGGTTTCGAGTTCAAGCACATATGATTGTAGGGTATTTGAGAATTTAATGTTTAATGATTGAAAATTTATAAAACGGATAATATCACTTGTAATCATCTTAAATTAATAAAAAAAATCCTTTAAAGGCTTAATTTACGATCTAGTCTTTTAACTATACCCAATTTCTCGTTTTGGTACTATTTATCAAATTAGACGCATACTATCTAAATTATATTGACTTGAATTATAAAATGTTATTTTTTACTTTTCAAATTATTTACTAATAAAATATTTATAATTATTTACTATCTATATAAATATTTATAAATTATTTTAACACATGGATTTGACTCAACAAAACCTATAGGGAGCTTTAATTAGTTGCTTTAATTAAGTGGGCAAAGACTCAAGTTTTTTGAAACATTAATTTTCTTAGTCCTTAATCATAAGGTCTCCTTGAATACCTACTAGCTTTAGACAAAAGGATTGCAATTCAAATGATGGCACAATAAGAAGAAAACAATAGAAAAAAAAAGTGATTTATGGACCAACCCCACACAACTCTAACGATGGCTTTGAGGCAGTTGTGTCTCTATGTTGTATACTCAACAATTAAGAAATATTCTGAATAAATATTACCTTATAATCATCTTATACTATAAAAAAAACATTTCATTGGCTGTACGAATGAATAAGAGGTTGGGTAATTAGAACATTAAAGAATGTGCATGAAACCTAAAGAATGTGTTGATTGGTGTAAAAGCATGCATGAAAATGGAAATATTGTGGAATTAATCAAATAATCATCCATCCATTGCAACATGCCCCCACCAGTCACCAAGTGGGTTACTTTCAAGAGCTAAATAATTCATGATGGAGGTTGGCGATAGTCAAAACTATCGAAAATATAATAAAAAAATTCATCGATATTAATTAAGGTTTATTTTTTAGATGATGTTAAGTCTCTTATTATTTACCTTTTTTTAAAAAAATTTTACTTAAAATAATACTTGAAATCACTGGTTTTGGAATTAATTTTTTCTATTAATAGCGTATCAAATTATCCCTTACATTTATATAAAATTTATTTTTAATTTCATGAATCTAAAATTTAAATTAAATAGTTATAATAAATTATGAAATATATCTTCATTTGTAATGTATAAATATCTAAAATTATTACATCTAATCTAGAAAAACAATAATTTTATATCATTCTACAATAGACAATACAATGAAGATTATTTAAATATTATTAATTAGACTTAACATGATTATACAACATGAAACATAATATTGAAAAATAGTTAAGTATGTACGATATGATAAAAACATTAATATATATGAATATACAAATACATCAAATATTACATAAATTAAATTATAACATATCAATATTTATATAAATATTTAATAAATATAATACTTACATGAAAGCACAATTATACAAAAACAGTAGTTATTTGAACAATGTTTATTCTTGATATAATTTTTATTAATATAACATAATTACAAGACAACAGAAAAAACTAAAACATAACATGGAAATAATATAAACATAATTGTAAAAGAATTTAATGTCCAAACTCAAAATCAGTCCAATCCGTCTGGACTCATGGCCCGTTATCAAATACCGTATGATTTGTGGCTTTCGAATAATCCAAATCCACTGTAGGGAACCATTGGCAGTAGGTGAACATTCAGTGACCGTACATGTCACATTTGCAACTGAATCAGTATTCAAGAGAATAAGAATTTGGTTGCCGGTAAACATTGGCGTAGTGAGTGAACCAGTATTAGTAGAACCACAATCTTGCACAGAATCAACAGCTACTTTTAGACTAGTTGCCATGGTATCTTGCACAGAACCACAATCTGACGGAAAGCCAATCAGTCTGTAACAGTTCCCTCGTTCGTGGCCCTTGATCTTGCAATGAGCACATACACTATTGAATCATTGAGGATTATTGTTTTTAGAGACATTAGAGTACATGGCAGTAACCTTAGTGAACAAAGGGAAACTCGAAAAATGAACGCACTGACATTCATGTGCACGATCATAAAATAGACGTGATTAATTGAAGGAAACAGTTTCTTTTAGAGAATTTGACTCTGAATAAAAGCGTAAGTCTCATCGAAACCGTTGAAAAACTAAAACAGCATTTGTCGAGCCAAATGTTGAGAATTCCTTTAATTACCGTCACAGTCACAAGCTGCAAGAGGTGCTAGGGCAGTAAACACATCCCATAATAGCTTCAACCGAGCGAAATTGGTCGATACAATGTTGTCACATTGATTCAATAGAGCAATTTCCCAATGAAGGAAATAAATCATTCAACCATCAACCTTATCAAACCTCTCTTTTAAATTTTGCCAAACAAGTATCACACTAGATGCGAACACAATCCTAACAGAAAGCTTTTTACTCACCGTCTTCAATATCTATGACAAAACAATCGTCCTCTCTTCTAAATTTTTCAGGTTTTCCTATATTTTAGATTTTTGATGTATTCTTTTATTGATAATCTATTCTCGTCCTTTAAAAATTTCAAGTTTTTCTATATTTTAGATTTTTTAATGTATTTTTATTGATAATTTATTATCGCCCTTTAAAATTTTATAAATTCACCCCCTTTAAAATTTTATAGGTTACCCCTAACATAAAGTCCATCATCCGTATCTGTGTATATCAATCTAATTTATACACATTTCAGTAACAGATTAACTGTCAAACTATCCAACAATAAACTATTAACAGTCTAACTAATTAACAACCACAAACTAACTTCCTATTCTCTACATGCAAATAAAGGAAATGATTATGTATTTACTCAAGGTTGATTTAGTATCCATATCCAACTCACGCATCAGTATGGTTTATCTATATTCAATTTTAAATAATTATCATAAATTTAATTTAATAATTAATAAAATAAAAATACTTCTTTTGAAAAGAGAAAATTAAAATAAATAATAATTGTATAATAAAGTATAAACCATTGGATGTAATTCAGCATATTTAAATAACTTTCAATTTTGGCGACTGCCCCATGCTTATATAAAATATAATTTCAAATTCAACAAAACTCACCCAGCGAAGAAGCCGACATATAACCAAAATTATGCTTGTCTAAGATAAGAGAGCAGCACCATATTTGAACTTTTGACTTATTAAATTTAAAATTTAATAATTTATTTATAGCGGTCCATACATTTATTTAATCATTTAAGTTCAAAGGTTCATGACTTATTTAACTGTATACAAAGCAGAGATATCAACTCATTTAAATATAATAGTAAAGGTTTGGGGGTCTTAAAAGGTTTTATTTAAAATAATTAATTGAATTCTTTTGTATTCTTTTTTTAATTTATTCTTTTATCTACGTCATTAATTAAATTAATTTTTTTTTCTAAATCAATAAATATTACGTGTCACGATATTTAAAAGTTTTAATTAGTTTTTTTAAGCTGAAAACTCTAAACGCCCTTAAGCCAATTGTAGAATTCAATAATTTTATTAATATTTTATGTGGATTGGACTTCAAAGATGATGGCATTGTTTCTTTCAGAAAGAAAAAAAAAACTGGATAATGGAAGGCTGCTTACGTAATGCTTACAAGATATTAGTAAGGAATTTAAATAGCGGTCCGATTTTTTATCGCATTGTGTCTAACATAGTTGCATATATAATGAATGTTATTATAGTCATTGTAAATGTCACAATCCTGAATTTATTTTTAAAATTTGTTATAGTCATTATAAATATCATTGTAAATAGTCATTGTAGATAACAACTTATTATTATAGTAATCGACTGTTAATCATTAAATTGTGACCACAATTCATCGATGTATCATTTCACTTCATACTACTACTTTTTACTCTAAACTATTTCAAATACTACAATTACAACTATATAGCTGTCATTATCTTGCTACCCAATCACTATTTGAATACCTTAACTAGGCTATAAAAGGCAAAGTAGTAAAGAGTTTAATCGTCAGATTCTGGAATCGTCAGATTCTGGAAATGGAGTTAGCCAATTTAGCTAAACTCTTCATCAACCCATTGTTTCCATCTCTGATTCTCCTTCTACCCCTTTTAATTTGGCTCAAACTAGCAAAAAGAAGGAATCATAATTTGCCCCCATCACCCCCAACGCTACCAATCATCGGCAACATCCATCAACTCGGCAAACTCCCCCACCGCTCTCTCCGACACCTCTCGAGGAAACATGGTTCCATCATGCTCCTGCAGTTGGGGTACAATCAAACCGTAGTGGTTTCTTCAGCCGACGTGGTTAGAGAAATTGTGAAAAACCATGATATTGTCTTCTCCAACAGGCCAAGAACCACCGCCGTGGACATATTGTTCTACGGATGCAAAGACATGGTGTTTGCACCCAACGGCGAGTACTGGAGACAAGTTAGGAAGATGAGCGTCGTCGAACTTTTCAGCCACCGGAGAGAGCACTCGTTTCAGTTCGTCAGAGAAAAAGAAGTCGAAGTTCTGATGGATAAAATCCGCGGTGCTGCTGGTGGTAAAGGAGAGTGTATTAATCTCACGGAAATGCTTATGTTTGTGATGAGTAACATTGTTTCTCGATGCGTTCTTAGTCACAAAAGCGAAGAAGAAGAAGATGGGTGCAGTAAGTTTGGGGAGATGGCGAGGAGGTTGGTGATTGTGTTCGGGAGTTTTTGTATCGGCGATATGTTTCCTTGCTTGCGGTGGCTGGATGGCGTTACCGGATACATTCGGAGTTTGAAGGCATTGTCTGGTGAATTCGATGCGTTCCTTGATGAGGTAATTGAGGAGCATAGAGGTGTTGAAAGTGATGAAGATGTTAAAACGGACTTCGTCTCTACCATTATGCAGCTTCAAAAGAATGGCATGTTGGACATGGACCTCTCTCAAGACAACATCAAAGCCATCTTACTGGTTATTCATCACTATTTCCCTTTGTTTTCTCTCTTTCTTTCTTTCTTTTTTCACTTTTACCTTGCAGCCAAATGCTAAAAAAAATAAATCAAATTAACTATTTAGTTAAACGATAGAGGTATTTTTTTAGTATTTTATCTTTAAAATATCTTTAATATTTGATTAAATAATTATTTGACACATATTTTGTTTCTCAACGTTTTATTTTAGGATAAAAAATCTTTCAGTTAATGAAAATTATGTCAACAATGATTAACGCTAGAACACTTTGTCAGGTATAATGATTAACGTTAAATGATATTTTCTAAGGTATAATACAAAAAAAATCTATGATGTTTAACTAAAAAATCTATCATTTAAAGTGACACAATTATTTAACGTTAAGACATTTTTTTAACATTATGTCCTTGATAATGTCAGGACATGTTTTCGGGAGGAACTGATACCACCACAACGACAACAGAATGGATGATGGCTGAACTACTAAAGCATCCAAGTACCATGAAAAAACTGCAGCAAGAGGTAAGAAATGTAGTCGGAAGAAACAAACCCAAGGTGGAACCAGAAGACATGAGTAAAATGAACTACTTAAAATGTGTAGTCAAAGAAACTCTAAGACTCCACCCACCTGTTGTTCTCGTCCCTCGAAAAACATCAGACCCCGTTAAAGTCGGATGCTTCGACATTCCTTCGGATACAACAATCCTGATCAATGCATGGGCCATTCACAGAGATCCCCAATGGTGGGAAAACCCAGAAGAGTTCATCCCTGAGAGATTCGAGAATAGCTCCATTGATCTTCAAGCTCAAGATTTTCATTACATACCTTTTGGTTTTGGGAGAAGGGGTTGTCCAGGGATGTCGTTTGGAGTTTCTTCTGTTGAGTATGTGATGGCTAATCTTCTGTATTGGTTCCAATGGGAGTTGCCTGCAGGTCAAACTGCTGAGAGTTTGGACATGGCTGAACACAACGGACTTGCGGTCACCAAGAAAAACCCTCTTCATGTTATACCTATCTCTCTTTCGTCTTAATAGTTTTTAAGATCAAAATGTTATGTAACGTCCTAATATGCCATAAAATCAGATACAATCATAAAACAATTTTTAAGATGAAAATGCTAAGTAATGTCGTAATATGTTAGTTATTTGTTGAAAACAAAATTGTTGCAAAACAAATTATTTGTATTGAGAATAAAAATAATCGAACAAAAATTGTAAAAGGGATGTCGTTTTCCAAGATTAAAATAATTATTTAATATTTATAGAATCAGTAAAAAACAATCAATAACAGTACTCTTTTCGAAATCGAAAGGAGGATTATTTTACTCGAAAAATAGTTTTTGGTATAGCTCAACTGGCCAAAGGAACAAGAAAGAAGAGTATAAATGGTTTGTTTTTCTTACTTATAGGAATGACGGAGCGATAAATAGATAAAATTCCTAATAATAATTACAAAATATTTTCAATATTTTGTATCAGTCAACAATAATAAAAAAATAAATTACTGATAAAATATTTTTTTCAAAAAAATTATCCAAAAATTCAACACACACGATTATGTGTTAAATAGGTTTAATATTATGAATTGCTATTTAGATGATATTAAGCATGATATAAGTTGTATTTAAACTAGGGTAAGTTTAAATAAAGTTTAAGTATATTTTGTAGGTAAAATTGATCATTTGGTACATATGATATTGATACTACAGATGAAGAGTATCGATACTATACATCAAATTAGAATTTTAGTACATCATTTTAATATCCATATCTTAACTGAGTATCAATTCTGCCTCTCGTGATATCAATACCAATTCTTAATATTAATATTAAAATATAATTCGATATTTTAAATCATTGATGAATGTTGATACTCTTTTTTTTTTAAATTATTATTATTCCAATTTCCAAGACTTCGTCAATATCAATATCCATCTAATAAAGAATATCTATACCCATTTAATAGTATATGGGCTTTATGATACTACACAAGATCAACACGAAATTGTATATTGTAAAGAAGTTTTGAAGAAAATGTGAGCTTGACGTGATTTACACGCTGGAAGCCATTGAAACTCTCCGCTCTCTTGTCTTTATTGTCATTATTTTTTCATAAATATAAAACTACACATCAATTAAAATATTCACATTTGCATAAGCCGATGACCAACTCGATTAAACAATGACCTTTCATCAATTAAAAGACACATTTGTATAAGCCGATGACCAATTCGCTTAAACAATGACCTTTCTTCCCCAACTTTTTCTCGTTTAGTGTTGATCTCTGATAGAAAAGTCCGTTGCCTGAAACAGAAATGGCTGCTTTCCCCACCGATGTAATCACTGACATACTTTGTATGCTTCCGGTGAAGGCACTTACTCGCTTCCGATTTGTGTCAAAGTCATGGGATTCTCTCATAAAAGATTCTAATTTCGCCAAACTCCATCTCCATCGCACCTTCAAAACCAACAACAACGTCAAGCTTGTTCTCGACACTCTTACAGCTGATGATATTGATGATGACAAAGCCTATTCAGTCGACTTCAACTCGCTAGTCAACTTGGAGCAACTCCCTCGCCCGTTTCCATCTGGAAGATCCGGGTTTTCTTCTAGGATATTTGGTTCCTGCAATGGTTTACTTGCTGTATACCATGTGGAAGCAGGAATTGCTTTGTGGAATCCATCTACAAGAACATGCCATTACCTACCGAAATTAACGATGGAAGATGTGGTGGAGAGAGATCACGACGTTCTCGGATTCGGGTACGATGTGTTCGGCGATGACTATAAGGTGGTGCAGATGAAAGCATCTGGAAAGTCGGTTATGATTTACAGCCTGAAAACTGATTCATGGAAGAGGATCAAGGATTGCCCTTATCAAATTCCTTACGGTGAGAGACAAGACTGTGCATATCTCAATGGTTCCCTGCATTGGGTAGGTGATGAAAAAGACAGATATTTCGGGGGAAGATTGATCTTGGGTCTTGATCTTGGGGTGGAGGAGTTCCTTCAAGTTCCTGAACCCGACATCAGTTCCAGGAACTTTAGGTACAAAAATGTAGGGGTGTTGGGAGGAAGCTTGTGTGTGTTCCGGGAGTATACGAATTGTTATGATGAAGATCATATCATTTTGTGGGTGATGAAGGAGTATGGAGTTAAGGAATCATGGACTCAACTCATTTATCTATCCCGTGAAGAATGTCGGCTGACAAACATATTTTATACCAGAGCCATAGCATATTGTAGGAGGGGTGATCGAATATTGTTGGACGATGGTGGTCAGACAGCATGGTTCGATTTGGAGAAGCAAACAGGGCGGATTCTAAGTATTGCAGGTGCTCCGAGACGCTTTTCTGCAATGATTTTCGTAGAGAGTCTTGTTTCTGTTGTACCAATTCACCATTGATTCAATCAGTTGTTTCTTTCTACATCTTGTCTTATCTGTTAGGTTTAATTTTGAGTCATAAAAAATGTGAGCTTTTATTTCATCACTGAGGTAATAATTAGTATTGAAAATCCAATAATTGATGTTACATACCTCTGTTACATACCTCTGTTATGGCTAGAGATACAACGGAACTAGATAGATAGATTAGAATTTATAAATAATATATATTAAATATTTTATATTTTCGATTAATTCGGGTAATTCAATTAGCTAATTCAGTTAAAATTAAAGTTTAAATACTCTTAAGGCTAAGTAATATATAAATAATATATATAATATATTAAAAGTTTAAAATTTTCAATTAGTTCGATTAACCGGCCAATTTCAAACCGAATTAATTGATAACCGAAATTTAAAAAAATCATTAATCATTAACCGATAGATTAACCGAAAAAACTTCAATTCGATTAATTAAATCAGTTTTAGCGGAAGTTTGAACAGCCGTAAGGATAAAAAAGTATAAATGGATAAATCCTTAATAATGAATACAAAGTATTATTTTATCATAAAATATTTTTAATATTCTATAACAGCAAATAATGATCGAACATAAAATACTAAAACATATTTTTGTCAAAAATGACAAGCATGTGATTACGTGTCGAAGACATGAACACAAATATGAATATAAACCGGACCTAATGGATGACAACAATAGCGTGCGTATTGGGTCTTAATTCCAACCAATGTAAGGTTCTCTTTGCATCATTAACAATATTACAACGCAACAAGCCTTTAAATCGCCTGAAATATTTGATGAAACACTTCAAATGACCTGCAACGGTTCATCCTGGTTTATTTACATATTCATCATCATAGAATTTAGCTGCAAATAATAATAAAATTAATGAATCACCATTTCATAATTTTCGTTCTTATCATATAAATGCATATTATCCATCTTACCTTTAACAAAAGTTTGTAGATTTTTTATTATCATTTACGATATCATGTTTCCTACCGATGTATGTGATGAAACATACAATGTTATACCTTCAACACATGAAATGAAAAGAGATTAAAATCAAGACAATGTTAAAAATTGAAATGTTCCACTGTTTCAGTTTAGCTGTAACTTATATCAATTAACGGAATATTTTACAAACCTATACATATAGTTTCGGTTCTTCTCTCCTTTCTTTTATTCCAATTTAGCTTGTATCCTTTGCAAGGGATGTGTACTGCTGTCCTTCTCCTATACTTGACAGCTAGTTAATTAATTAATTTATTATTATTTATCTCACGGTAAAATCACTCATACAATGAGGTAAAAAAAATTTAAATAAGGATTATCAAATTTTATTTTCTTGAGTAGGATGTTTTATACAATGGATCGAAGAAAAAAATTTAAATAGAGATTAGCTAACCCTTATTCCCATATGTAATGGGGTAAGGGGGAGGTAGGTTAGTAGGCTGCCCCAACCAACGCCAGGTTGAGAATAGCTTTAGTGTGAGACCTCCAAATTATGAATTGCCCACCGTAGAACTCGATCCCACGACCTCAAGGTTAAGAACCTTGTACTCTACCAACTGAGCTGGATAGGCAACTACCCTAGACTAGAGTGAATCCGGCACTACTTACACCCACCATAAAACTCAGCCAAAAAGCAAAAACAAATGATTCATCTTTCTCAATTAAAAGTTCAAATAATTTATGATACCAAATCAAAATAAATATGAAATCAAAACTAAAAATTTAATCTTACGAAATCATCAAGAATAAAATACAATATTATATTTGCGAAGTATGTTTAAACCCATTAATGGAGATTGCCTAGATGGTGGTTGTGATCTTCCAAGAATATATGTTTGCTCTTGTTGTAAAAAATTTATGGGATAATACTAATACAAATTAACCTATTTTTTAGACCACTACCTCTTTATATAATCTGATTATTAAATCAGATTATAAATATTTATAATTTCACCCCTCATCAAATTATAAATACAATTTACGATATCTACATTTTTATATACACAACACTTTAATACCTATATTTTAAAATTCTATTTTTATAACTCCTTTTATGACCTTAGATTTTAGTTTTAGCTTTTTAGTACGGTGATAGAGCATTTAATTACAGATCAAGAGGTCACCGGTTCGAACCTGGTGGTTTGGCCCTTTGTTTTGATTTTAAGTTTCTAAGTCCCCCTTATTTCTTTCCCATATGTGAACCTAATAATTCATATTTTGTTCTTCCTAACCAATATATATATAGTGCTTCTAACATGCTAATTCTAGTTGTCAAAGCAAATATGTTATTGATGTCTACAAGAAAATAGTAAATCTTGTTTTGAGCAAAAACCAATAAAAAGAATGTAGCCATAAATCAAGAGTTTAATACATTAGACCTGCCATAACCAGTCGATATTTGATCTACAGGGCAAACAAAAACAGTATATTTTTAATAAGTTTCTACATAGATGCCTAATTGTCCTATAAGCTTATCTTTATCGTACTATTCTATTGCTATGTATTAGAAGTTTTTCTCTGTATAACTTGCATATGTAAATCTAAAATTGTATGAACTAGTTTACTAGACACTGTAAGTATCAAGATTGCACATTTGGTCAAGTGGTATGATTCTCGCTAAAGATGCTAGAGGTTCTGAGCTAATTCTTGGAATGCCTCACTTCTTGTTTCCTTTTAGAGGTACGGCTCACAATGAGTATCAAAACCGGGCATTTGGTCTAGTGGTATGATTCTCGCTTAGGGTGCAAGAGGTCCCGAGTTCAGTTCTCGGAATGCCCCTCCACACTTTTGTCTACACTCAAAGTGTATGATCAGAGAATCTGATGCAAAGTCAACTTTACAAGGAAAATAATATATATATATATATATATATATATATATATATATATATATATAGAGAGAGAGAGAGAGAGAGAGAGAGGATTAGTCCTCTCAGAAGTCAGATCCATTTAGTTCCCTGATAAGAGATTCCAGTCAACAGTTCCTTTCTTGTACCCTTTAATCTTGTATAAATAAAGGGCAATCAATTATTCTTAAATTTGATCTAAGAGTCTTCAGATATAAAAGACTGTTAAGAGGTCTTCAGATCTAAGCACATATTAGCCAATTGACATTGGAGGAGCTTTGATGAATAAAACATTTATCACAAGAAAAACAAGTGAAAGAGAAGTCTCTCTGCTCTATCTTTTTACCAAACATAATACCTCATTCAAATATCTCTTTGTGCAATGACTATATTATACAGAGCGGCAAAGCACTACAAAGGCGCAGAAACTCATCAAGGCAGGATTCGTTTCAGGATCCAAACTAGAATTACAAAATGGATTAAGCTGCTAAAGTAGATATCACCGCTACATATTGCATCATAATAGACTTCATGATTCAGTTTACTGATCAGTCAAGAACTGCCTATGTATCCAATAAGAACATATTAAAATCCATTAGTTTAAGAACTCAGCTAGTATTGTAACAGCAGAATGGCTTACAAGTTAGCAGCGAATCTTGCAAAAACTAGCTACTAATTAAAGAGAAGTTGAGTAGGAGCATCGAGTATGGGCATTTGGTCTAGTGGTATGATTCTCGCTTTGGGTGCGAGAGGTCCCGAGTTCGATTCTCGGAATGCCCCACAATTTATTTTTTAACTTTGAAACGTAAGTCGATTCGAGAGGAATCCAGCCCAAAGTCAACTTTCAAAGAATTGGCTGCGCTATACAGTCTGGCCAGGCCCTTGCAATGCAAAGGTGCAAACAATATACTTTGGCATTCAGTTCGCAGAGTCCAGCAAACAAAAGTTTTTAGGAGACAACCTTCAATGTTAGTAGCAGTAATTATCCTATATCATCTTTAAACTAGCTTAAGTGCTTCACTTTTCTACAAGGAGGTCAACCGATTGCAGCCTATTTCTTTTGATAAAGTCTCCCAGCTTGAAAGGTTTAATATGATTTGTAATGGATTTGTGAGGTCAGGTCGCTACTCGGATCTTAAGAATCAAACGGGCATAAATGATCTTCAAAAGGTAAGTGGAAAAAAGTGGACAGTTGAGAGAGACTGAGCGCAGCTGAAGCAAAGCAGCCAAGGTTTTGTCGACAAGTACGAAGTGATTAGAATGGTTAGAAAGAATCGATTTCTTTGGCATGACCATTGGCCTGTTAAGGACCATGCATGGGTCTTTGAGTGTCTTGTTTTGGTTGATGAGACTGCAAAAGAAGATATAGTCGTCTCCAAGATTAGACAAGTCGGACGAAAGCTTAGGAACAAAACCAAAACAGTCGAAAACAATATCGATGTAGACGGTTCTTCACCACCATACACTCTTTAAGTCCTTATGTAGCAGTCTATATGAGGGTAGAAATAGATTGGATGATTCATTGCAAGAACTTAGAGAAAAGATCAGCCGAAAACAAGGCAAGAACTTAGAGCAAAGAACTTAGGAACAAAACCAAGACAGTCGAAAACAATTTCGATGTAGAGGGTTCTTCACCGCCATACACTCCTTATGTAGCAGTCTATATGAGGGTAGAAATAGATTGGATGATTCATTGCAAGAACTTAGAGCAAATATCAGCCCGATAAACCAGATTTGTAGTAGCGAGCAAGAGATTATGCAAAGAGTGGGGAATATTGCGAGCTTAGAATCTCCCACTGTTCTTTATCTTGCTGTTGCTGATAGCCTTCTTAATGATTCTTCGATATTGGATGGTTGGGAAAAAGGATTGCTTCCTTTTGAGAAGAACTTATGGGTCGATGGAATTCACAAGAAGCATCTGTATCTGATTCAATAAGCAATTGACTATGAGGTGTGTTCAAGAGTTGATATATATATAAAGAAGGAAAAAACATGTGGAAATTAGAGAGTTGAATAGTCAAAGTAAAAAATGTTTAATTTAAAATGACATGTCTCGCTCTGTCAGTAAATTAACTGATGAGTGGCCGAAAAAGTTCAATGTATAAAGTTTAGTTCTTAAATTGAAATTTTTTAAACATGAATGATCGAAA